ACTTTAGGTAATAATATAAATTAGAAAAAATTCAGTAGAGAAATCAGTGAGGTAAAAATGTGAAGGGGTGCATTTTAAAAAATTGAGGGGGGCGTTTTTGAATTTTTAATTAAAATTAGAAGTAATAATGTAAATTAAAAAAAAAAATCTAGTGGGAGCAAATGTCGTCAACTAGGTTCGTGCCTGCTAATAACACTGTTTTGATTAGATTATTTTACTATAAATCAACTTCATCAGTCAAAAGATGAAGAGTTAATAGCACTTTTAAGGGGACAGAAAAATGCGAGTTCACGTGAAAGAATTCTAATGATATAATTTTTTCCTTTAAATAATTGAAAGTCACTTCACTTTACTTTTAATATTGTGTAGCTCGAGAAGGTAGGATAAAGGGGGACATAAATATAAAATATAATATGCTTTTAAGAGAGCATTAATCCCGAAATACAAAGGATAAACAAAAGTGATTAATGTTAAAAAAGAAAGCTACTTTTTTTTTTTTTTGTTTTTTTGCCCGAAATTCAAAAGGACGGCTAAGCTGTTATGTTTGTTGAAAACTTAAGATTCATTCCTTGACTTCAACTGGGAAAAATATATTCATATATACACACAAACACACATATATAGATAAATATATATCAAAGTCATTAATTAAAATTGACATTAGAGGTTGACTAACCGACTATTAGTTTAGGTGATATAATTTCTCTTTCTCCAAAGAAAAGAAGAGAATTCAAGTTTTATGTTAGACATTTGTGATGGTACTAGTGATATGATGAGTATTTTTACTTAATAAAATCTAAATACATAAAATAAAAAAATATATTGATAAATTAAAAGGAATTGTAAGATAATAAAAATAGCTAATGAGTAAAAAATAAAATGAGACATCTCATTATATATTGATAAATCTGACGCCCTAATTTGCTCCGTAGCAAAATGACCGTCAATACAAAGGGAAGATAGCTTTCAAAACAATAAGATTTCACCAAATTACTTTCAAATTTACGTTTTTTGAATTACTAATAAAGTATTAAATTGCTAATAACAATCTGATTTATGAATCAGGAATCTTTCATGTACAAAATGAAAAAATATTAAGTTGGTCCGAAAATAAATAGACATGGTCAATCAAGAGAGATCATGCACTTAAATGTGTCAACTGTATTCAGCTTTTATTCTCATGTCTCTTCTCATTGACAATTTTAAACAATCGTAATCATTATGTCATTAATTTGACGAGACATTACGATCACTACCGAATATACCGAATAACAACAATCGTAAACTACTTCGTACGCAAGAGTATATATATATATATTTATCTTAATTCATAAATACCATTTTCATTATTAATGCAAATTGTCATGTTCATAACAATAAATCTAGCAAAAATTTAAAAATAATGCCAAAGTCATGCGCAATTTTTTTTGAACAATTCTCACACTCAACGGACGTTTTTATTCTCACTTATGTTATATGAGATTTAAAGATTGTAAGTTTTGTGCTCTGCTCCCACTTGTGTGATTTAGGTCTTTTCCAATTTTTACTAGCAAAAATTCACACCAATTTCCTTTAATTTTACATTGTTCCTAAAATTAAAACATTCTGTTTGGATGCTATAAATTAGGGGTTTGGCTAGGAGAGGAAGATGATGTATTTCCTTTCCCTCTCTCTCTCCACTTCCAATAACTAATTAAGGGAATCGCATTGAAACTGTGCACATGGGCGTGGGCTGGACTCAAGGTGGCTGCCCCAAACATGTCGCAGTATAAAACTGGTGGCGGTGGGCCATGTGGGGCCCAATTGGCCGTACTCTGTGCACCAATAAAGCTAAGCACATGCTTTCCTCTCGGTTGACTTTTCCTAGGCATTTTTTTTTTTTGTGGTGTCCACCACTTATCATCTCTCTTCCACTCTTTCTTACAAAAAAAAAAAAAAAACACACACACACACACACGCAAGTGGCAATAGCTGAATTTGCAGGCAAGTTAGGGCCATTACATGCTTTATGTGACCAATCAATATGTGACACGTTTTAGGTAAAAGGTTTTTCTTTCACAGATTTGTAGATTTCCAAGATTTTTAACTAAACCAATGTTTGTTCAAGACTAGACACTTTAACAGCAACATTAATCTTAATCCATTAGACATTATTACATGGATCATGTAATCTCGATCTATCACGGTCCATCGTAATCATGTCTGACATGAATATACTCTCTCCCTTTTATAATAGTTATTTTTATTTTTATTTATTTTTAATTATTCCAAAATATTTATCCACTTATCAAATTTAAACATATTTAGCATATTTTCATAAATTACTCTTAAAATTTTAAAAAATTTTAAATTTGATTATATATATATATATATATATATATTGTATATTTAAACTTGGAAGGGTAACTTTGTAATTTTCAAATATGACAATATAATAATTATATGCATATTCTTAAAAAGTTCTACTCTCCATAAGAAACATCTATTATGGGACGGAAAGAGTATTACATTTTGATATCATTATGTATAAATGGTACTAATAATTCATATTTACTATTTAATGGAGTCAAAATTTTATAATTTCGAAAAAATGAAGTGGACCAAAATGTTGAAGTGGACATAAAAAAATACTATTTACTGTTACTGAGATATCACTTTTGTGCACAAGGTATTACTTTTTTTGGCATCAAGTACTACTTTTATTTTGGGCATAGAGGTACCATTTTTATTTTTGGGCATAGAGGTATCATTTTTTTGTGCAATACAAAAAATAGTACCTAATGATAAAAAGTGATACCTGCATGCATAAAAAATGGTACCTCAGCGAAGGTAAACAGTATTTTTTCATGTCTTCATTTTTTTCGAAATTATGAAATTTTGACTCCATTAAATGATAAATATAGATCATTAGCCCATTTATATATAATAATCCCTTAATTTTTGTGAATGTTTTTTTTTAATTATCCCATATAAAATTTTTATACCTTTTATTTAAAAGTTTGAGCGAACTTATGGACACCCTATATTGTGCCCCGGAGCAATTCCAACCGTCAATCTGCCCTTTAGAGGAGAGCTTCTATACTATAGAATGGAGGCTAGAGCCCATTGATGCATTAGAAAAGTTGTAGTACAAACATTCCAGCAATAATTTATGTAAATTAGGAATTACCCAACAAAATTAATTTATGTTTAGGAGTGTGTGTGTGTGTGTGTGTGTGTGTGGAGAGAGAGAGAGAGGGGTATGAGGTTTTTATTCTTAGTGCTTATTGTATCAAAACATTTGTAGCTGTGGGTACAACTTTATAATGGTTATTGTCATGTCAGAGTTTAGATGTACACTTAATTCATGAAACAAACTTTAGGTGCCCAATTCTATCATCAATTGTCCTATAGGAATCCACTTTCAATTGTGTCCTTTTAGTCTTACATCAATTATTGTCCCATGGGAATCCACTTTTAATTGTGTCCTTTTTGGTCTCAAAATTTCGAATTTTATCATTACTTTTTAATGACTCACATTACCTTTTTGTAAGTGACTCATTGGACATGTTTCTAAGTATTCTTTTTCATACAAATAGAAATTTCACCAAAGTAGGGCTTTATTTAATTTTTTTTTAAAAAATAATAAATAAATAAATAAATCCAAAGCACTACATTATTGGATAGATACAATGGATTGATCCAAATTAGGAGTGTTAATGGGCCTTTTAGGATTGGATTAGGTATAGACAATAATACTTGGTAGTATTTGCATCAAAGTGATTGATATCAAAATTAACACACGCGGGCGCACACATATATATTCCTGACAAAGAGTTCTCACATACTCTTGAAAAGATTCGAACTTGATCCGAGAGGGTATAACTAAGTCATAGACCTTAGTACATTTTTGGGCTTGTCGGAACTTAAAATCACAAAATTGTACAAAAAATTGTTTGATTGATAATATCTGAAAACTCTGTTAATATATATATATATATATATATATATATATATATATTTTCTGATTTATTGAGAACTAATTCTTAGTGAAAACTAAGAAAGCCCTTAATTTTTATTTTGAAAATGTGCTTTAATGTTAAGATATGAAAGCACTAATTCAAACATAAACTTACGTATGAACAAATAAGAAAAAAAAAAAGGAAAAAAAAAAAGAAAAGAAAGAAGATTATATGTTTTTCAAATTCAAATTCACAATTTAAAAAAAAAATAGGTTTGAGCATAACAAACGAAGTGAAAAATTGACAACTAAACCCCAAATGTGATGCAAGTGAGTCAAGGGATTGAAATGTTAAAAGAGATAGATATTCGTACTCCAAATTTTTATAAATCCATTTCACTTTTTGTGTTTTTTCGTAGAAGTAAAAGATAAAAATGTCTCTCAAACTGGTTTTAAGTTACGTGAATCAAAAACAATAATGTCATTCTAGTTCAAAATTGAAATGCCAAAAAAAGCGGGTTCGAATAATATCTATCTCCTACTGTTTGTTTGTTTTATTTTTTCAAAATTTTAAACAGATACGAACGCACACTCAATATTATTCTTAATAAGACGAGAACACTTAAATTATACAACATTATTTTTCGTAGGATCTGAATACTAAAACTCTCTTTGAAGAAACAAAAAATTATACCTCTAAACTAATACCCATTACCATTTTTAATAATTAATTCAAGAAAATTTTATTTAAAAAAAAAAAAACACAGCTTTCAAATTTTTTTTTTTTCACCCAAGTACAATTATTAATTGGGTGAAATACCTTGGGCTTTTAGTGGAACCCATCTATTAAAGAAAAGGGCAAACAAAACCAACTGGTATGTCCACTAGCTTCTTTTTTTAAATAATGCAACCCGATGACGTCATCCATTGAGTCATCCTCCCGACAAGCTGCGAAATATAGACCAATCACTCCTCCCCACGTGGCGCCATCTCCACCGTCCAACCCATCCCCACCCAACATTCCCACTCCCATATATTGCGACACACTCAAGCCTAACCCGCCTTCTTCTCCTCCTCCTTTTTACAATCTTCACCCTCACGTCCTCATTGTCCCTCCCATCCAATAGAAGCAACCAAACACCAAGAACAAGAGAGAGAAACTAGAGAGAGAAAGTAGAGAGATAAAATTAAGATAGGCTTGAGCTGAGATTTTGATACTGTGGTGGTGGAAATGACCACGTTGATGGGTACTGCAGAGAGGGACGAGCACCGTCTGATCAACTTTGAGGCGACGGAGCTCAGACTTGGGTTGCCCGGTGGAGGCGGGAACGACGGCGAGGCGGCAAAGAATGGTGGGAAGAGAGGGTTTTCGGAGACTGTCGATTTGAAGCTTAATCTTTCGTCCAAGGATTCGGAGATGGAGCAAAAAGAGAAGATGAAGGAAAAGAATGTCACTCCTCGCCCTAATGATCCCACAAAACCTCCAGCCAAGTAAGTTCTTTGTGTGTATACATATACACACACGCACACACATATATATACACACACTATATTGAGAAGAATTATAAAGGGTTATGTACACATATATGTTTAAATTTTTTATTTTTATTTTTATGCATATAATTTAAGTTTTTATTTGAAGTTATGCATGTTATTTGTTTATGTGTGTCAACTGATAAATGCTTATATAATAATTATAAAATGAAAAAAAATTCAAGTTAGTAATTGTATTTTTAAATAGGAATATATGTATTGTTTTGAGGGTTTAGATTGTAAGATTTAGCTTTAGAAAATTAGAGAGATCTATGGAAAAGAAGGGTTTGGCTTTGAATTCATCATTTCAAGGATAGCATTCTAGGTTCAGTACTTTTTTATTTTTTACTTTCCTTCTCTTACAATAATTTATTTCATTATTTATGGTTTTAAACCTCTTTGTTAGTATCAATTATTTCAATTATCTTCTTTAAAATTCAAATTAATACCAACTATTGAACATGGTGATAAAAGGGAAGTGAACAAAAAAAAGAGGACTCCACTAGAGCTTCAAATGGAAATTGGGTAGCTTTAGAACCATAGAGAAATAAAATAAGAAAATTAATGGAATAAAGAATTTTAATGCTTGAAATTAAATTTTCCTTTAAATTGCAATCTTCAAATTTAATTTTTGGAATTTTAGTGGTGTTGATGAAAGCATCTCATAGTGATTTGCCAACATTACAACCTGGCCACTATAAAATTTTTGATTCAATAATAATTTGCTTGGCTGTGATTCTTTGTCGGGGAAGATAAGGAAAAGAACAAAACATTTGGAATCTCTACTTTTTAAAAAACAACCATATGGTCTCAAAAAATCTACATGTAAACAAAAATGTTATATCATATATAGTGTTAGCTAGTAACAGATCACATGGAACTTCTGGTCCGTTTGGTGAAAATGGTACCACTAAGATTCTTTCCCCCCCACACACCAAAAGGAAGAAAAAAAAATTAAAATAAAAAGTAGTACTCCTACCATACTATAAACGATAAGGTTGCTTGGTTTTAATATGAAGGTTACGGGTTTAAAACGAGAATGAGTATCTCCGCATGTGAAGATAGGGATGCGTATATCTAATTCTCTTCATACTTTGCAATAGCACTGAACTAGCCCTTCATAAGGGATATATAGACCTAAATCTTTGATATTGATTATTTTTTAAAATGACTTTCTCATGTTTATAGCATATATATCTTTAATTGCTTTGAATTTTTTTATTTTTTTGAGTAATTACTAGAAAGGGATTAAATCTATATTTTACTTTTAAATCCAATTTTTCATTGGTTGATGACAGAGAGTATCCTGTTGTTTTAAAAATAATAATAATAATAATTAATATTGCTTTGATAACTTTATTTGTATGTTTTGAATTACACCCTACTTGTTTAATCTCCTAAGGGGATGTTTAAATGTGTCATTTGAGGGTGAATAGAAATAGTATTTAAGGTTAAAAATTGATGAGTGAATATTAACAGCTAGATATATATATTTTTTGAATTTCAGGGCACAAGTTGTAGGTTGGCCACCCGTCCGATCATTCCGAAAGAACATCTTGGCCGTCCAAAAGAACGGCAATGGCGCCGACAATGGTGAGAAGGCCGGTAGCAGTGTAGCATATGTAAAAGTTAGCATGGATGGTGCACCATACCTACGTAAGGTGGACTTAAAGATGTACAAGAGTTACCCAGAACTTTCCGATGCCTTGGGCAAAATGTTCAGTTCCTTCACTATAGGTAATTATATATATAACATTTCCATTTTGATTTGTGTATATATATATACACACACACACACACACACATAGAACACATTTTTCATACTGTGTTTTCTTTGAAAAAAAATAAAATTGTATTTGATATTAACAATTGTCTATGTTCTTGTTGATTTAAGATAACTGTGGCTCACAAGGAACGAAGGACTTCATGAACGAGAGCAAATTGATAGATCTTTTGACTGGTTCTGATTATGTGACCACTTATGAAGACAAGGATGGAGATTGGATGCTTGTTGGTGATGTTCCATGGGAGTAAGTTTTCATATGTTATATACACACGCGCACACACACACACACATACATATATAATGTGGTTCATTCATTATGTGTTTCCATGGCTAATTCTTCTTTCTTTCATTTCAATCAGAATGTTTGTTGATTCATGCAAACGCTTGCGGATCATGAAAGGCTCAGAAGCAATTGGACTTGGTTAGTATACCTCATATATATTAACTATATAAAAGGGACAAACTCAGCACATGAGGCTCTTATTATTGCAAGGTCTTGAGAGGGTTAGATGTACACAGCTTTAGGGGTTGTTTCCTTATTTCGAATCGATCAACTCTCTCTATGAATTATAACAAAAAGATTTACATATGATTCAGCAATAGTGAAAAACCCGTGCACTATACTAGTCTTTTTTATATATAAACGTACATTATTATATATATATATATATATATATTTATATATATCAAGTCTTGATTTTCCTCTTATAACATGTTTCATGTGATGAATGCAGCACCAAGAGCAGTGGAAAAGTGCAAGAACAGAAGCTAATCAAGTCATCCACAAGTTGTTTGTCTATGATCAACCAAGAAGACCAACTTGAGTTGAATTGAGCAAGAAGTTTGGATGTGTACCATATAGCGGTTTGATATATATATATATATATTATATATATGAGAAAAAGAAAGACATGCAAATCTGTTAGGGACTACGAAAGAGGCAATAAGTGTATTGTTGATAAACCTTGTTTTCATGTTTCACTTGTTTACTTTGTAATGGGGTTGTTTGGTTACACCCTCGATGTTCTAGTGGTATTAAACTTGTATCTGTAGTTTTCATCCCCTCCGTATATGAATGAATTTGACTTTTTGTTTCCTTCGTCAGATTCTCCGCACTATGCATATATATCATTATTGAATATTTAATAAAATATGTTTATGTAATTATATCTCGTCTGATTTGCTAAAAGGAGGCAATGAATAGAATCCTTGAAGCTGGTTATTGGGGAACAAGAACATGTGCATGTTGTTGTTTTACAAGCTGTCTCTTTTTTTTTTTTTTTTTTTTTTGTGAATCTGACTTGGAAGGCCGAATGAGTTGGCTGAAGAGGTATAATTACAATACTGTACATTGGGATAATATACACACACACACTATTATTATAATTTTCGATTTTATGCTCCGTTCGATTAGAGGGATGGAAAAATAGATGGAAGGGATGGATGAGGCCCATCTTAGGGAAGAAAATGTGTCACTCTCATTTTTTGTTTGGTTGAATGGAATGAATATTAGAAATGATGGATCTGATGACACATTTTTTTTGTTTTGTTGAAATGAAGGGAAAGAGGGTTTTTATATTCTTTTTACTAATATGTCCTCATTATTTAAAAATTTAAAATTTCTATATCTATTCCAATTTTTAGGAAGGTTAGAAATGAAAATTTCATATTTGTGTTAGTTATATTTGTCTCTCTCTCATTTTCATCCTAATTTTGAGCGGATAGAAAAATATAAAGAAATGAGGGATGAAGCATCCCTCCTTGCTTCCTCCCTCTTTTCCTCTCTCTCCAACTAATTAAACACAAAAAAGTTAGTTTATCCCCTCTCTTATTCATCCCTCCTCGATCAATCCTTCTCTCTAACCAAACATAGCATTAAAGACCGATTCAATTCTATTCCATCGACCATTACTTCTAATAATATGATCTCTCTTTTAAAGGAGAGGATTAGTGTTTGAATCCGATAAGGACAAAATATAATAAGCGTGCATGCATTTAATTGCCTGAACTTTCAAAAAACAAAAAAATGTCCCATTCTTATAGTCTCAAAAGTTATAGTCTCTTTTCATAATATGATCAACGAAAATGATAAGAAAAAGACATTTTAGACTCAATATACATTTGAGAAGGAATCACAAAACCTCATGCGGCAGAATACATTTTTATGAAATTAAAGTAAGAACGATGATAATGAGAACGACAATTTTAGTTATTTTTTATTAAAGGTTAAGGTTGGTTGAAAAAATTAAGATAATAATTATTTTTATCGACGTAGACTAGTCTAATTTTGATGAAAGTGAATTTGATCCTAAAAGTCTCAGATGAGAGACACTAGTTGAATTCAAACTTGTTAATTTAATGTGCAATAATATTAATATAAGGTTCAATGTTCCTTATGACTGAGCAAGTCCATGACTATGAGACTATCATTTTTTTTCACCTTAATTTTATATTTATTGTATGATGGAGCCAACTCCATGTCACCATATTTAAGCTGTAATCATAATAAAATAAAATGGTGTATATATATAATTCTATATTATATTCTACTTCTTTAATATTCCACTGGAATTGTATATACTGCAGTCGGTGGTGAGTATCATCATTGTATGATTTTCAGCATCAAACTAGGGGATTTGTAACATTTGACCTTTCCTGTGTAAGATCTAATAAAAATTTTAATTCCATGAAGGTGGTTGAATTTTTTTTCTCATCTTTCAAGTTCATAACCATTTTTCTTATTGTTTATCATGGATCAGACATTAGTGCAGAGAAAATGTTGGTGTTTTTTATTTATTTATATGTTTTTCTGTAACGGAATGTTATTATGAGATTCCTCTCATGACAAGAGACACAAACTCTCCTTTTATATACTCACAAGCCCATTGATTGCATGATTCTTGTGAAGTTGTGGCCCGAATTTTGCTGGTTTTGGTCTACGATATATATATTTTTTATCTTGCGGGCTGTGAACTAGGTTTTAAGTATCTTTTGAACTCTAAGGGTGATAGGGTTTGTGGCATAAGTACGAGAGAAAGCTAAAAATTGATATAGAAAGTTAGAGAGAAAAAGTTGCGGGCTTAATAACTTGTAATCGAAGTTAGAAACACAAAACAAAACAAAACAACTTGTAATCTTCTATTTCTTTGCATAGTAAAATCACTTTGTTCCTCACCGTGGATGTAGAATATATGTCAAATTATGTAAATCTTTGACTATTATACGATAAATAGTTTATTAGTACGTGTGTCGTTATTTATTTATTTATTGTGTTCTTGGTTTAATGGTATTTGTCTCAAGAAATCTGATATCGACTACTTGTTCAAAAAATCCAACTTGAACAAAGATTTTCATCAGATCATTTATCATTCTATGTCATTCACACTAAGCTTCAATCAAGAGTAAATGTTCAACAATCCTATCAATCGATTGAACATGAGGGGTAGGATGAAACCATCTGTGGTTTTTAAAATTTTAACCCAAGATTAAGTTTGACTCTAATCAAGTGTTAGTGTAATATAATTCATTTTGATCTTATATTCGAAGAATTTGGTAAGTATGGGGGATTTTTTTTCTTGAATTTGAATTCTATTAACATTTTGGTATTTCTGAATCTTAGAGCTCAATTTTAAATTTCAATTAGAAATGATAAGTAGACCAAGAGTCGGTCACGTCCAACTTTTTAATGTAGCAATCATCCTCACTTAAGTTAACGTAGATGGATATGTTCAACTTTCTATCATTAGAAGCATTTGTAGAACTTTTTTTTATTTTTTTTATAGTTAAAGGTAAACTTGTATTAATATGGAAACAAAGAATGTACAAGGTAGTCCTAAAATAGGAAGAACAAAACTGCACAGAGCAACAACAAAACCCAAGCCTAATACAAAGGCAAGGTGCCAAACTCGCAAACAATCTAGTAACAAACTACACCATACACAGCAAACCAAAAGTAAGATGCAACAGGAGACACTCCAACTCAAGGCAATACAAATTTAAGTAGAAGTAAGAGCCTGAGCATTGACAAAACTACAACCATCCATGAAAAGTTTCTGTAGGTTTTTAAGCTAGCCTGTTAACATTTCTCAAATCTGATACCCTCTTCAATTTGATTGATGCCAGTCTCCCTCTGATACATTTCTTGATCTGACAAATGATTGTGGATGGGGATGAGGATGAGTTCTTGAAGGCCTATTATTTCTCTCTATCCAAAGGAAATAAACAACAGCAGAGAGCAAAAGTTTATGAACCAAGTATCCCTTAGAGTTCCATTGTGTAGAACATCACAAGATCAAATTTTTCCAAGAAAATGGTTGAATGTATAGCCCAGTAGTGTGCTAAATGAATGACTAAATCTCCTTTGAGAACACACACTAGAAGAATAAATGATCCAATGATTCATTGTTAGCAAGGCAAAGGTAACAAACATTGATGTGATGTTTGTGCCTCATTGGTTTCCTATCAAGTGTATACAGTCAACCTTTTGTAGCCAGCCAAGCTATAAAGCTGTGTTTAGGGATATGATGCTTAAACCAAATAATCTTATGCCATGGAAAAATAAATGTGGAAGGAGGAAGTAGTTGATTGTATGAGCAAAGGAGAAATTACAAATTGGTGAGGGTAACCATAAAACTAAATCTAATTTCTGTGATTGAAAGAAAGGAATTTGAGCAAGTGAGTTAGGGTCAACCCAATGATTCAAGGAAATTAGGCTATCAACTTTGACTCTCAAGTCCAGTTGAAGAAATTCCCCATCATTAAGGTTGAGTTGGTTCAGAATAGGCCTATTTGGCAACCAAAAATCTAACCACATCATAGTGTCAGTACCCTTCCCTACCTTGTGCCTCAACAAGCCCCCTGCCATATCCCTTAATTTTAGTAACCTTTTCCAAAATCCAGAGCTTAAAGTTGTAGGCTTAATAGACCAGAAGCTCTTGTTTTTAATCAAATATTTGTGTGTCTAAGCAACCCAGAGGCTTTCCTTCCTTTTAGCAAACAATTTCCAAATGTGCTTTAAATTTGCAATTGAGTTTGTTAGTTCAAGGTTTGGAAAGCCCAAACCTCCATTGATCTTTGGCCTACACACCACTTCCCATGCAACTTTAGCACATGACGCCTTCAGTTCTAGACCTGACCAAAGAAATCTCTTTAAGATCTTGTTAATTTCCTCAATAACCTTCTTTGGCAAAACAAAAGTTTCCTCAATGGATTTGACAAGGACAGCTCTTCCAGCAGAGGAAAAGAATCTTGAAGTCCATCTTTTCACTATTGCTGTAATTCTTTCCACAAGGGTAGTGCAGTCTGTTGAGCTAAGGGCTTTCGATGTGAATGGTAATCCCAGGTAAGTAACAGGTAATGAGCCAGAACAAAACTGGAGAAGGCCTAAGATATCAGTTTTACTTTAACAATCAACCCTAGAGAAAAAGACAAGACTTTTAGATAGGTTTATGCTTAAACTAGATAATTTAAGAAATTGTTTTAGTGCCTGAAATAATGTTTGAACTGAGGCCAAACTCCCATGGGAGAACAACAATATATCATCTGCAAATGATAAGTAGGATAAAGCCAGTTTGCTGCACCTCCAGTGGTATTTAAAGTTGGGATTGTTCTGAATTGCATTATTCATGGAAAGGGTGAGAACATCCATTACTATGACAAACAATAAATGAGGGATAAGGTCTCTCTGCCTAATCCCTCTTTGACCTTTAAAGAACCCAAATAGTTCACCATTAAGGGATATGGAATAGGATGGTATAGTGATACATTAAGAAATCCATTGGATAAGGCATGTAGAGAAACCCATAAGGTTTAGGGTATCAATAATGAACTGCCAATGAATAATTTCAAAAGCTTTCTTAAAATCCACCTTCAGAGCATAGTTAAGGGGGTGGGAGGACTTATGATAACCATTGAAAAACTCATGAGCCAAGATCACATTTTCAGAGATATGTTTGCCTTTCACAAAAGCATTATGAGAAGGGCTAATTAAGATCGGCAGGGTTGAGTTAATCTTCAAAGCAATTAGTTCAGAAATAACCTTATAAATCAAATTGCAATAGGAAATAGGTCTAAAGTTTTGAACAGTTGTAGGATTAG